TTGCTGTGTCACCTCTGAGAGGTTTGGCTGCTCCGGCTGATTGCGATGCGAAAACCATTTTTGGCTYGCAGCCGCCTCTGTCCTTTATTAAGCAAGAGCACGACATCCAGTCAGTAGTTAACAGCTTTTACCTCCAGAAGGCCATCACCGTCTCCTGTCTGTACAGTCTGCTGCCATTTTTCTTTGGATTTGAGCACCTTTGTGCAGCACATTAAAGGGAGAGTTTAGGTGTTTTTGAAGTGCTGTTCCTGTAAAACTCTCAGTAATAATTAAAGGCCTAGCATCACTAAAAGGTGTGCATGCCAGAGTTTTAGACTAAGATGTTGAGAAATGATGCAGTCAAACCCTCTTATCTTGGCTTATCTGTAAAACTCACTGAATTATATTTGTGTTTTAAAACATTAGTAGGCTGTGGCAGCCATCTTGAATTTGGTACAAACTCTAAATAGTTGTTTATTTACATCCAATAATTGCTGTCTGAGAATTTCATTAAAATGTGCACAGTGCTTTAAAATATATTTTGTAACAAACACAGAAGGATACGTCCAAACATGGGCAAAAATAACATTTCTCACCTTTCAACTCTCCTCAGCGGGACGATGAATATTAATCCTGAGAATTATTAGTTTGGAAGCTCAGGCAAAAAATTCAAGCCGAGCCAGTTGTTTCCAAAGCAGATTGGTCTATTTCAGACATTTTGACTTGAAAGAATAAAATCACAGGTGTACCACAAGTGCTGGGTTCAGTTTAGAGGAAGTTCTGCTCGTTAGTATTTTTTATACAGAACAGCCAACATGCTCAGCTGTAGTTTTATGCAGCCCTTTACTAACAGGAAATAGGCCCACCGCTGCCATCTCAAAATAACTTCAGTCTCAAAAATGTACGTTTTTTTCCTGACCAGACCACATTTCATCACTTCATCACATCATCGAGTCACAAACCCAACTTACCTTTTCACACGTCAGCAGATTCAGCTCTGTCACTACCTCACTGTGCTGCGCAAAGATGCTTTTTCAAACTAGCTATTAGCTAGTCAGTTTGACAGTTCTAAACATATTTGTCATTTTCTAAATGCCGTTTTTGAAAACCACCAAACTGTTGAGACAGATAAGTTTTTTGTTTTTTACACTTGTTCCATTTTAAAGAATTTTTTTCTCATTTTTTTCATATTTTTCAGCTGCTAATGGACTTTAGATGTACATAAGATTTTTGAGTTGTTTAAAGTAGTTTTAATTTGAGAGAGGTTTGCTAAGCTTAGCCTGTTTGACATCCCAACTAAGAATGCTTTGACAAGTTTCTACTGCAGGTAAGATACTGCCTATTGATTACAACACCACATAACACCTCCCCCCACCCCCCAAAAAAGGTATCTTTCAATTAGTACCCTCTTTTTGTGATTTTTGTTCTGCATATATAGTTTCCTGACTTTATCAACAAGTTTTCAACTCTCTCTGCATCATTTATAGACAGAATTTTAAAACTTTTAGCCTCTGCTTGTACATTTTCGGTGATAAAACAAAGTTTAAAGACAGCGACATTTGGCASCTGGGGTCGAGGGAGTATGGATTTCTTCGGGAGTAATGTCCCGCTCAGTGAAAAGGTTTACTTCACAGATGTTTAGTTTGCGGTGTAGCGATGAGGAAGAGCAGGTAGTGGGACAGAAAAAACAATGTGCTGAACCACTTAAAGCTGAGCCGCGAAACGACAAAAGGAAAGGGAGAAATGAGGAACAGTTGGCCTATCTACCTATCCGAGGGTCGGATCAATATTCCCCCCTGCTCCATCGCTGTGTCCAGCAGAGGAAGCTGCAGGGGAAGGCCATCAGCAGGTCATCAGTATTCCAGCAGGCTCTGCCTACTCTGGTGTGGGCAGGAGAATAATTTCATTCTGATCTTACAGATCAATAGTCGTACCCTCTGGAAGGCGACCAGCCCCGCCTGGCTGCCCGAGCTRCTGCAGTGTTCAGAGTTACACATTCAGAGGATGGCACTCTTCAACATTTCCCCCCTCTTTAATTCGACCCGCAGCACATCTCACAATGTGGAGGCTTGTTTCTTTCAGCTGAAACTGTGGGGAAACGAATGACCTCATAAAAGTATGGATCCGTGTGGATGATGTAGTGTCAAACATTTGTACCGACTGAGACAGAACATATTTATTACAGCTGGTATGATGCAAACTACAGCATGAAGTATGACCACAGAGTTAAATCAATACGAATCTATTATTCACTATAATCATTTTGCTTTAGGTTTTATTACTTCATTTACAGTCTGGACACAAATGTAGAAACAAAAGATGGCAACTGACCTGAAAAACACAAAAACGACTAAAACTCAGTGAATTCTACAGATTTTGACCCTGTGGTAACCACACACTGGTGCCTGCCAGTCCCTGACCTCTGTCAAGTTATTGATCGACAGACGGAGACGCAGACTTAAAAATGGGGCTCAAACCAACAGTGGTTGTGGAAAAACTACAAATCAGAGATCTTACAAATTCTTGACCTGTGAGCAGCAGGACACTTTAATTATGACGCATGTTAATTTTTTTATGTGTCTACAGTGTTTTATGGAGATACTTCTATATTTTGGTTAAAATATAACTAAAGTATATGAAAACCTGGTTGTGCAGTTTGCATTTTGGGGGGATTAAAGAGAAAACCCCAAGCCCAATAACCACGAGAGACACACTGGATGAAAGAAGACAAAAATGCCTTTGTTTTGATGTATAAATTGTATATTATATACCGAAAAGAGTAGTGGGTGTATAAGATTTGAATGTTTAACACCACTCAAAATTAATGTGACATAATCAACTGTCCAACATTCCCTTTAAAAAAATCTGTAAAAAAAATAGAACTTCAACTGTGATTGTTTAATAACAATGAAAAGTATCAAAGTGCCMGTTCAGACACACAACATGTAGCTTTCTGTGAGCAGTTTGCTGTGACGTCTGTCTGAGCTGTAGAGTGCTGAATTGTGGTGGGTTTTTTGTGTTGCCAAAATCCCATTCATTTTCATCAATCATTCATTTTGTTTTGGGGTATTTTATAATTATTTTGTCTACGACATGCTACTACAGTCATTACACAGTATTCCCAGTCAAGCTGCAAGTTGTAGTGTATAACCTGAAGAGATGCTACAAACGATTTTGATGGGACAGAAGATAGAAAAGATTAGGGCTGCATGATACTGGGAAAAATGACATTGCAATTTTTAAACTTTGTGATATTTATTGAATTTTCAAGATATGAGTTAAATAACACTTACAGGTAGTTCTGCTGCTATCTTGTTGACAATGAACCTGCTCTGATCTTACCTCTTTTATGTGCATGTGGCAAGTATGTTTTCTGTCTGTATTTGAGAGTTATTCTTCTTTTTTATTGCTTGTTTTTATTGTGCTGGGACCTGTTTCCTTCTATACAAATATGAACTGCGTTTTACCCCCAAAAGTGTTGCTTCTGTCATAGTTTCTGTTTCCATCACGCTTTATTATTACTGTATTTTACATCTTTTCCTCTAGTTCYCTTTGAATTTGTTCGTCTTCCTTGTTTTCATCGAGATCCTCGTCATCTTCCTCCACAGCTTGATAATTCACTGTTCACTTCTCATAAAAAAAGTTGCCATTATTATCCCAAAATTTTCACAATAAAATGAAAGTTATAGCTTTCTTGACATGAAGACGACCCCTTCTTTTTCCAGTGGAAGCGACCTGTCAAAATAAAAACAGTAACATTAGCTCAATCTCTTATGATTTAAGTCCCTAGAGAACGCCTCGTACATAATGATGTTGCTCAAACATATATTGTGAAGCTTGATCTGTTCTTAAAGTTGAAGGTGAACAAATGCACTCATTCAGTGAGCAGTTATGGACAGGAGACTCTCCACCGGCGCTCGACGATACGGGGCGTCCTTTTCTTTCTCATTAACCGTTGATAAGCTGCCATCTTTTCTCCCCGTAGTGACTTGAATACAKTTGAGATTGTTCAGTAGACGCACTACAGGAGTAAAGTGGTGACAGACGATCAATAGAGATCTAATGATTAAGACATCAGGCTCTGTGGAGAGTTGGTGTGTGTGTGTGTGAGAGAGAGAGAGAGCCATATGTGGGTCCACAGCAGATTCGTCACCTGCTGTTCTAATCTCCCTTGGCTCACGCTTCTGCTGTCATACAGTAAGCACTGTTTTCTTTAACACCTCTCATTCATACCTGTACATGTTTCAGTTTCCCTGGTGCTCTTTCCTGCCACAAACCTTTCAGTCTCTGCTGCCCACCGTACAGTCGGATCAATCCACCTTCAGATGTGGGCCCGAGGCTGGGGAAAAGAGCAGCCTCTCTCCTCGGGCCAGGCCAGTGACTGTTTTCTGGCGTGATCGATGGAGAGCAGGGATCAACAGCAGCAGACTTTACTGAGCCTGAGCTGAAAGTCCACTTGGCAGAGACACAAACACATCACCTCATTAAACTCAAAACTCCCCTCGCTGCCATTACGCAGCCGAGCCGAGCCGCGGCTGCTCGCTGATGAAGATCTCCAGACCACTGATGTAGGAAGGCTCTAATTGCTGCATGGTAATGTGGCGCCTCTGCATCCCCGCTGCTTCCGCAGTGAKCCAATGGGCGCAGTATTGTGCTCGGTGTAAGAAGGCTTTGACTTATGCCTGCTAAAACTGCCATATTGATTCAGTCATTACTGAAGCGGCATCCGATCGGCTCGTCGGCACAGAGCGATGGTGTTTTGCTGTTTGCTGCTCCCTTACATTCGTCTCTCACTGTCACTCTCGGAGAATTGTGTGAATGGATTTGGCGACCACAAGCGATGACTCCTCAGTCAGCCTCTTCACTTCCATTTCCCCTCACCCTCCCACGTCCTCTCACACACTCCGTAACCTCAGATTGCCGTCTTTTCCTGTCCGGCCTCTTCTCCTCCGCCTTCCTGTCTTTTCTTCTCAAGTGTTCTGTTTGGCTGTAATGACCCCTCTGTTTTTCTCTCTCGGCAGGTACCACCAGGCAGCCGAAGGAGGGGGAGGTGCCTGGGGTGGACTACAATTTCGTGAGCGTGGAGCGTTTTATGGAACTGGAGCAAAGTGGAGCCCTGTTAGAGAGCGGAACCTATGAAGGTGAGACGTGGGAGCCTCTGCAAGACGAGCGCAGGTGCTTGGGGAGCAGTAAACTGGGAGCTCGGAGCTATTTTGAAGCATATTCTGTGAATATCTTTACTTGATTAATCAGACGTGTCGGGTGATAAACAAACGTGAAGCCTCGGCTCTAACACAAAGCCGGCATTAAAGCTTCCTCTCATGGCTGTTGAGTGCAGAATATTTCCGTGTGTGTCGGCTGAACTAATGCCAGCTTCACGTCACGTCAYGTCTGCGCATCCCTGCTTTGCTACACTGTCAGGGTTACATCTACAGATGGAGGATTTGCTGGTTCATTTCCCCAGAAGAAATGTTAAAAGCGGCTGAGCTCGCTCACAGTTTGTGTGTGAATGTGTGCATGTGAAGGGGGCTACAGGCATGTGTGTGTGTGTGTTCATGTGTGTGCTTCTTTCTTTCTTGCACACATTACATTTGTGTGTCTACAGAGTATGTTTCCCCTGAACACAGAGCTTAGTTATGCCCGTTGGGAGAAGCTGCCTCTTTCTAAGTGGTTGCACTGGAGGTGCTGCAACTCGTTTTCTGACTCGCATTAAATTAAGAACGAGAAGACAAGAGAAGGGAAGATTTGAGGTAAGAACGGAAAGGTGTTAGGTTTGGATGACATGCTAAAGTAAAATTGAGCTGATGACTTCTGATKTTTTTGTGTTTGCACAAAAATTTTAGAAACGTTTAGAAAATTTGAGGTAAATTTTGCTGTTTTTCTTTCTGCCCATGTCTGCTCACGACTGCAAGCTAACCTTGCACAGACTGATTTTATCATCACTTCTCCTGACCAGTGTCCATTCCTTGGGGAATAGGATGGATTATTTACAGCACACTTACACACAAAGCACAGAGTGAGAGACTGACTTCATTTCTGTGTTGCCGCCGGTTAAATCCAGCTGGAAGAGCCAACATCGTCCTGCACTGACGAGCTGTTAGAGAGCTGAGTTCACTGGATCTGAGCTCCACAATGAGATAATTATGATGAAGAAAATAGTGACAAAATGTTGGAAACTCATCTTCTTCAATGTTTGTTTCAACCTGAGCGTTACCACCACCCACAGGCCGGTGCAGCAGAACCAATATCATCATCCCACCGTTCACGACTGTCACAGCCGGCGTAGGGTGCATTTGTCGGCCGTGTATGCCACTGCCCCCTACTGCTGTCCCAATTCATAGGCACCTACTCATGCAGCCGACAAAACCCWAAAAACGTAGGCTGCTTCTGAGTATCCTACATGGCTGACAATATACCAGGATTGATTGTGCCGTCARCAAACTAAACAGAAAAATGAAGATGGCTGACCTTTTTTTTTTTTTACTGTGGAGTTTGGAAATTTWTCACAGACCGAAGAATTTGTTTTTAAATGTAAGCTTACCAACTTAGTTGATGAAATTTGTGCTGYGTTGAGATGTTGAATCAAATGCAATGACAAGCACTGATGCTGGAGCTAAACCCAAATTATTATTATTATTTTTTTGTTACATGTAACGTTTTAATAATACAGAATTTTGTGAAGTTATACCGTGAAAAGACAACTGAAGGCACGTGATGTAAAATGTATCACTGTGGTAATGATGCAGCTCATGGTCACACAAACAWACAGCATCTGTAGACTTGACCTTCTCATTTCACAGCCGCTGAGGTTTAATCTCTAAGATGTAGGTTTAATATGTTTTTTTATATTTGAAATGACAAAAAGTGTCACTTGATCATTAGATTGTAAGGTTATTATATCTCTGATCAAAAAATTCTCATCTTTTTTAAGATAACAGTATTGCTAGTGTTGTTTGTGTTACGTATGTCAGTGAGTCACAGCTGATGGTGGATATAAGTGTAGAAAAACTGAGAAGCCTCCAGGCACGTCAGGCAGTCAGGTTGTTGCTCTGAAACTGGCGTGATGCTTAAAGGTCTCAATCATCTCTTGATGTGCTTTACTTTCCCTGAAGCATCTCGTCTGGTTAGCTTGAAGCTCTCGCTGGTCGGGAGTCCCGCTGCTCCTGCAGCGTCATACTTGAGTCTCTGTTTGMTTCTACGCACATCTGCATTTTTTGACAGGACGTGTTGAATTTATTTTGAGAGCAGCAGGATAAATGTGCTAACTGAGGAAACTAAAAGTGATTTTACAAGTTGTATCTCTGGAAACACTCACGAWATCAGGAGGATCAATATGTAGCTTAAAAAGGCCAGGAGTCTGATATGTTTAGTTTAGCTTGACCAAATACGACTTAATCCGTGGTTTGAGGTGATGGGTGACGTTTACGGGAACAAAAAACACAAAGCAGAGACGTTTGTGTGATGCTGGACTGAGTCCACGCTAGAGGAAACCTGGTAACTCCTCTGGGARTTACCGGCCTCTTGTACCCTCTATCCAGGACCAATCCTCGTGTGAACCTCAGTGTTCAGGACCGAGTCTTTTATCTCAAACTCTCAAGTAAAACATTTGACCTCTTTAAGACCTGAACTCCTTTTTAWAAGGATTACAAATGGGATTACAGAACAAAACACTTTGTCTCACAACTTCCTTGTCAACAAACATGAGAGCAGATTTTGTGCAGGCTTAGATTAAAAAAATAAATAAAAGCCTATAGTATGAAGCAATAAATTGCACATGAATTAAAATAAATATAAATACTGGGACAGAAAGTAGTCCAATAAAAACGATTAGACTGTTTTGTTCTCTGAGGAATCGAGACATTTATGTTGCAGAAACCTGAATGTTCAACACTTCTTGGTCTTTTAATGACCTTTCAATTGAAAAAATGCATTTGGATGAAAAGTAAAAGGTGATTCAAACCAAGAGAAGCATTATTTTTATTATGTTCAGCTGTTAAAGCTCATAGATTAGTGTTTAATGAACTCTAGCATGCAGAGAAATCACTTTTCTCACAGTTGTTGGACATTTCTATTGTCCACTTTTTTAATTTGAGTAAGTAAAGTTACCTTTGTTGGGCTTTTTATTAAAAAAAGTCAACAGGTGCTTAACAAAAGCAGTTACATAAACCCACACACAAACTGTAAGCAGCTTTTTAACAGTTTGATGCAACATCAGACACATTGTTGCAACTTTAGACAAAAAAATTGAGAAAGTAGCAAAAGGCTTTTTTAATATTTTAGTGATATATATATATATATATATATATATATATATATATATATAAAAATCTCTAACACATTAAAGGTGATCTCTGCTGTTTAGGATCTTAATTATATCTGATGGAACCCACCTCACGCTCTGTGTGTCTGTGGTCCCTTCTCCCAACGGTGCAATAATCCCTCTCTGAGCATGCTGCGCCGGTTCTGTCCAAAGCAACAGTTAAAGAAAAGTGAGATTAATTAAGAGGAGCAGACAGCTGGTCAGGGCTTCCAGAGTCAGCAAACTAGTGAGTCAGAAAATTTACCTCTGCAGCAAAMGTTGGGTTTAACTCAGAGCTGCTTTGGAAAATAACTCGTATAATTGTACGCATTCAATAAATTCCAAYTCTGTGTCTGTTCTGTTACCAGAATATCTAATGTTTTTCTCTAAAATCCTTTAATTAAATACATCTTTAATTAAAAATACAAAGCAAAAGACCAAAATTAGGTAAAACTCTCGATGAAGGTTTGAAACCTGGAAATTTGCGTTGTCATTTTGTGCACATCTCAGTTTGTATCTGTTTCTAATATATTGCAGAAGAATTTGAGGGCTCGAGTGAATCATGATTGAAAGATAAAGAATCTGATTTTCAGCTCCTGCATATAAAAGCTTTTTCTTTTCTGATTCACAAACAAAACAAGGAAACAGAAGCGAACTGATGATTCTGATTTCCACGTGGGGCGGATGGATTTTGTTCTCCTTCAGCTTTATGTAAGGGAATATTTCCTTTTGTCKTTTTTGTTTGATTGCTTAGTGACTCAGATGTGTGTGTTTGATGAAACATGCCTGGATTCAGGTTGATGTTTTCAACTAATCCTAGTTTCTTCCTGAAACACGAGCCAGCAGGTTTGGCGGTATTGATTGGACTTCCTGTATTAAAAATGATTGGTTACCAGACAGCAGTTCAGCCTAGTTATCTGCTCTCTGCTCTGTCTAGACAGCTCATTCTTCACAATTTGAAAGGCAATAATCTCGTCAAAGCCACGAGCCATTCAGGCCTGCGAGGCCTCTAACGCCTGTGTGTCCGCTCTCTGCCCTCAGATAACTTCTACGGCACGCCAAAACCTCCAGCGGAGCCGTCCCCGGCAGCCCCTCCTCTGAATGTGAGTGAGGCCCTGCTGCCCGGAGCCCGGCCCAGCGCCCAGGGCAAGAGAAAGAGGAACCAGTCGGTCAGCAACATGGAGCAGCGCGCCAGCATGGAGCCCCCCGAGGAGGAGGAGGAGGAGAGCCCCGTCGTCAACGGCAATGGGGTGGCTATCACGCCAGGTACCGTCAGAGCTAAAGAGGGCAGAGTCAATTTACGGCTCCCGGGGCCTCGTTTTTCATCGTCTCGCCGCCGAGAGTGGGCTCATTTCCACCAGAGAGGTTTTCCATCATCATCTTGTGTCGGCGAGAGGCAAGCCAGGCTGGAAGTTCTGGATCTGTTGTGGCTTTGATTGAATCAAACCAGAGGAACGAGCCTTTATTTTTCCTTGTTCGGTCAAATAGAAGAAATCAAGTTTCTTCTTTTCTAAAGTCCTTTTCTGTGTGCAGCTCTAGAAAACAAACTGCACCCTGAGCGTTTTTTCTTTTTTACAAATGTTAACAGAGCCTGCTTACATGGGTGTGAACTACAAAGGTTAACCTTATGTAACAACTGAACAAGGGCACCTTAATGTGTCCATTTTTAGTCYCTGGCTGGAGTGTCATGAAGACTTTTGCTCTCATCTTCCTGTTCTCTCATTTCTCCATCTCTCTTGTTGTCTTTCTGCCACTGGCTTTTGTCCTTGTTACTAATAATACACCAACACTCCTCTCTCCCTCCCCTCCTCCCTCTTGCCATCCTCACCCTTCTGACCTCCTGTTTTTTTATTTCGTCATTATATCTTTGTGTCTTTGCTGGCCTCTTGTCTGTCTCCTCCTTTTCCGTGTGTCTGTTGTTGAAGCACGTCGTGTTTTTATTAGTTTCCTGTCAGAAGTTTCCAAATGTTACCAATTAGTTTTAATCTTAAAACACTGCAGACAAGCTTTTAATTAAAATTTAGAGTAAACATCTACAACTGACTAATTTTCACAGTCAACCAAATTCAAGATGGCCGCCACACCCAATTGACCTTCTGCAACACAAAATTGACTCATTCAGTAAATTTTGCAAATATTGAGCTGATATTTACTGGGATAGTAGCTGAGACTCATCCCAACACATAAGCTTAATGGTAACTGATTGAACTAGATGTTTATTTAAAACTTTATTAAATGTTTTTGGCAAAATGTCTCATTAGCCTGAAGTGATGATTGTACGTCCATCTGTAACTGATTAACCCAATTCAAGATGGCCTGGCTTTAGCCAACGCAGTAATGGCTCCAACTCTTCAGCTGAAATCTGATGTGGTAGTAGCTGAGGGTCATTTGTAAACATACTTGGACTGCTTGAAAATTCTGTGATATTGTATTGAGCATAATGCTGTTTTTCACATTTAACTAAGCTGACTAACACCGTTTTCTCCAACATAATGAACTCAGTTTAAAACTCTGACATTAAATGTTGTGGATGATACTCATCCCGTTAAAAATAGTTTTAATTTGAAACGATTTTCGACCTCGGTCACTCTTCCTCTGCCTCAGACGCCACCAGATTTTTTTCTTCTTCATCTTTCTGACTCAGTCTCTGACCCCTGTAGTTTCTGTCTTCTCCTGCTTCTCAGTTTCTGACATCTCCATGTTGTTTTCTGCTCGTGCTGATTGTTCTTAGACTCCATCCTACCCCCCCTCTCCCTCCGTCTCCTGGGGGTTCATAGCTCTGCAGCGGCTCGACTCTGACTCATCATGCATGCCGTGTGTGATGTGCGTTCAGGTCTGCATGTGAGAGTAACTCTGCCTGCATTTGTTTGTGTGCTTTTCCTGGTCCGCAGAGTTGAGTGAACACGAGGACAAGAGCACAGACGCCTCTGGGGAGGTTGCGGTTGAAGGGTCCATCCAGGCCGCAGCATCGTCTGAGCCCGCTACAGAAGGGGAGGAGGCCCCCAAATCTCCCTCCAAATCGCCCTCCAAGGCCCCAGATGTAGACGAGGAGGAGCTGGGTCCTCTGCCGGACAACTGGGAGATGGCGTACACCGAGAAGGGAGAAGTTTATTTTATAGAGTACGGGATAAATCTGTTTTGTCTCCCAAAGAAAGTGTCTTTGTTCACACGTACAGAATGTAGTTTGAGACATAAAACATCTTCTGAAGCTGTTGTTTTGTAACTTTATGGATTCTCATAAACAGCAAATCTTAAAAACCCCTGAGCATGTAAATTATCCAACAACATAAACTTAACTATCAAAATAAAATCAGTGAGTGGAAGATACTCCTTAAAAAGGTGAAAGAATTGTTAAAAACAGGATATAAGTGTCAAAATTGTACTCAAAGCATTGAAATCTGTTAATTGTTGCCTCCATCCAGATCTTAACTCCTTTTTAAAGGACAGTTCAGTTCATTAATTTACTTTTTAAATCTGGTTTGTGTTCAGTGTTTCTGAGTAAAATCTGCTTTACCTGCATCAGTCAGAGCGATCTCAGTTTGGAGAATCARGAAGTTCTCATGGAGGAGTCCAGCTAAAAGCTATTCATACTCAGAATTTAATCAAAGCCCTAAAACGAAAACAGTTCAACCAAGTGCTCGATTATAAACTTTAAACTGTATCACTTTTCCATCAAACTGTGACTGATGCTGCGTTCCAGTAGTCCTGGGAAGTGGTAATTTCCCTGTTCCCATAGGTAAATTTAAACTGGAATGCCCCCTCCAGTGRTAATATTCCACTCGTAAAGTGGAAGAAATGCGACTGCCCCAGTTTCAATTTCAAGATGGTGGCTACTCTGTAACTTTTACTGTTAATTATCTTTCTTAATTTTTTGTGCATGTTTAATCACTCGCACAAGTAGTGTGTTTTCTGYGCAATACTGTCCGTATTAAAATCAGTGTTTATTTGAATAACCTCTGTAGTGGAGCTCTTTTCTTGTCGTTTATATTGTAGCTAGGTTAGAGGCAGCAATACAATCACCTGTTGGCTAACTGGAATACAGTTTCATATGGTTTGTTGGGAAATGACGACACTACCATTTACCAGTTCTGGGAATACGATGTAAATKAAACRCAGCATTATATTAAAATMTGTGGTGAACTGGAGAAAAGACGTTTTTCTGTGAGAATGCAGGGTGAATGTTGATGACCRCTACAACCTGCTGAAGAAGCTAAAACTGAGTTGTTAAAACTAAAAGAAGCAGAAATCATATCAAAGCATATCAAAAGGCTTTTTAGAAGCTAAAAGTGTCTAAAGCTAAACATAGAAAAAGCTAGCATGAAGCTAAAATTAAGAGTACAGTAGTTACACAATGCCGTAAAGAATATGCTATTAATATAGTGAAGACAAGTTATAAAAGCACTGTTAAGGAAACAGTTAAAAACCTTTTAACCTAAACTGTTTTAAAAGTTAAAAATGTAAGTAGAAACTGCTGTTAACTCGACTCCATCTGAATTTCTTCTGACTCCTGCTACAGCTGAGATACTGACTACTCATAGGTGCTCCACACAACCCCACTTAAAAAAAACTTGAACTTCCTCCTTAAACTTGTTCTGCTGAAACAAGAGAGCCATTGAATTATAAATAAAYTAGTCATTTAGTTTATACATTCATATATAATAATCATCTTTACAGTATGTGTTCGTCCAAAAAAGGCTTTTTTAAATTCTGTCTTCATTGTAGACTTCTTCAGTGTTAGACAAATTATTCATAAGCTGTATAAAACCTTATAGACAGGGCCTTTAGCAGCAGACTCTATATGTGAGACTATAGAGAAATAAGTAATTAAAACAAATTAAGCATTTATGAACTGCTGCAGTTTTTACCATGGAGCAAGTAGCTGTTATACATTCRGTTTGTTCTAATTTAAAATAAAATATCTAGTGTGAGTTAATAATGTTTAAAATCAAAGCCCACTTTAAAATCATGGTTTATGTATGATTGTGTGTAAACTTTATTATAGCTGTAGCTGTTTTTGAACATTTGATTTTACAGCTAATCGGACAGGATATTCTCACACAAACACAMAATTGTAAACCTTTATTTGTGTTGKTGTGTCCTGCAGAAGCCACTCTCCTCTCACCCTTACTAATTAGCAACTGGAGACCAATTAGAGGATTAACAAGCATTCAGTTTACCTCAGAAATCCACCGCACTCATGCAGAAACACACGTGTTGCTGTTTATTTATTTATTTTTTTTGCACTTTCTATCAGTCTCTCTCTCTCTGACCTCTATTTGCACTTTTCCTCCTCCTCCCTCCATCCACACCTCTGCTTCTCCTCCAGTCACAACACCAAAACTACATCGTGGCTCGATCCGCGGCTCGCAAAGAAGGCCAAACCGCCGGAGGAGTGCAGGGAAGACGGTGAGTCTGAACGGCCCTGTTTGTTTTTTCTTTTTCCTAAAAGCTTCGATTTGTGTTGATCCGAGTCAAAGCCATCTCTGGGCATTTGTAGGAGTGTGTGTTGTCTCTTTAGTTCCTGCTGTTTCTGCACCTGTTGTCTGTACCGAGCGCACCGCTCGAGCCTTTCCCTTCCTCCAGGAAAAGATCACACAGAAAAATAACCAGCTGTTTGATAATCTCACACTTCTCCAAAGACTTTAATTCATTCACACGGAGAGGAGGGGGTTTGAAAAATCAAGACGGAACAAACAGGCAGTTCTTTTGTTTTTGTTATCAAGAATCGCATCACAAAAATAAAAAAAATGAACCCTTTCTTTAGTTCCCATTTCTGTTGAGACCATAATAATGACCTATATTCACCACAGTTTCATAAATGAGGTCAAAACAAGAGTCAATTCAAATGTTTTCAGTCARAATATTTAACCATATAAGATAAAAAAAAGTGATGTGAACAACTGTTTAACAAGTAATCTCTCTCAAACATTGTTTGATTTATTTATTCAAAGGATTTATTTATTCACAGGATTTATTTACTCAAAGGATTCCCATTTGTCCCCAGCATGGCACAGACTAATCTTCCTGGGGTCAGTGCCAGCAAAACAGTGAAAAAATAAAAACAATCATTTCAACATCAAATCTCAAATAAAAAAGCAGAAAACACGACTGCAAATTATGACTACATAATACAAAATAAAAAAAACAGTCACTCCATTGTAATCATAATTCATCATTCAGTTCACCAACACTGATGCTTTAAAAAAAAACTAAAAACAGGAAATATGTGACCCMACATCAGGATAAAGTCAGACTTGGTCAAACTAAACTAAGCTTTTTTTTTTYGATTTCTGACTTTTTAAGCTACATTTTGATCTGATCATTTTCAGCTCCACGATCGAAGCATRAATGAATCCCACCACCAATCATCTGCTCCATTAGACCAGACCAAAGGAGACAAATAAAGAGGCCTTATAAATCAGTAATCAAAATGGAACATTTTAACTTTCAGCAGCTTTGACACATTTCAGTTCACAAGAATTTCTAGTACGAAACAATGATCATGTACCGTAAAATGTTCTTTGGAATCAATAACGTTGTATTATTTTTCATTCACACCTCTGTTATCGACTTTAAACCCATCCAGTAACATGATGTAAGTTCATATGTCTATTTAAATTGTGAAAAGTTTCCTTTCTTTATGTGTCTCTGTTTCTAATCCTGCTGTACTTGTATTTTCTTATCATCTTTTTATTTAAGTCATGTCTAAAAGATGCCGGACCTCGCCTCCTTTAGGTTTTACATATCCCACTATGGTTTTAAATATAGAGTAAAAATAGCTTTTATTTTCATAAACGTTGTTGTTTTGTGATGTTTGTTTCATAGTTTGGTTCAGTGGAAAAAGCTGCTGAGTTTCTTTTAACTTTAAGGTAAAACTTGCAGCGGTCCTGTGCAGATATGAGGAAGAGTGTTGTTCCGGTGTGACCAGGTCCATCCCAGTAAAGGTGTCACCGCCTGCGATCGGCCAATTAGTTTGTGATGGGATTCAGCAAAGATCTGAATCAATATCTGCTTTCCTTCTCCTGGTTTTCCATCTCTTCAATCCTCTCCTCTCATCCTCCTTCATCTCAACTTTCAGTCTCCAGTTTATTCCCCCCCCCCCTCTCTCTCTCTCTGAAAACGCTGTTTTTCT